TTAGCTGGGCGTGGTGGTGTACACCTGTGGTTCCAGCTACTTGGAAGGCTGAGGTGGAAGGATTGCCTGAACCCAGCAGGTCAGGGCTGCAGTGGCTGTGAGCGTGTCACTGCACTGCAGCCTGGGCAGCAGAGTGAGACTCTGACTCAAAAAATAAAATAAAAGATTGGCTAGCCTTGGCTACGATGGTATGAGATGCTCTATTTTAATGAATGAGTTGGCGTGGCTGAATCACAAGTCCCATTACAGAATGGTGTGGAAACTAGAATGGCCTTTGTCTGCTCAGTGCCAGGCCTGGGGCCAGCCAGCCAGTCACATGGATGACATCGACTTTTCTGGCCTCACTTGCTACCTGACAAAGCTGCTTTCATCCCCAGAGCCGGGGGTAAGACCATCCCCCTGTCTGCAGGGTGGCAGGTCCTAGAGGGCGTGCGTTTGGACGGACTGCTGGGGGTGTGGTGCTGTCATCAGTGGCGTCTCTTCAGCAGCTGAGAGTGACTTTCTGGGACATTTTCCTCAGTCACCTGCCCACAGGGCATTACCTGCTGGTGACTGGTGTCCCCAGAGCAGAGGGCAGATTTATTTGGTGAGCAGGCAGTGGGTGGCAGCGCAGGGTATCCACACGCCTTGCAGAAGCCATGCTGGAAGGAATCAGCATCTCAGAATCTGAACTGTTGACACGGAGTTCTTATTCTTAGCAAGTACATGGCCCAGCATTCCCGAGCTTTTGTCGCCAGGCCCAGCTTGCTCTGTTTACATATCCCAGAGGCGAATCAATGTGTTAAATTCAGCTCCAGGTTCTTTACCTTTCAAGTCCTAACTAAATCTCAATACCTTTGTAATTTGTCTCTCCTGTGGAAGTTTTTGAGCCTTACTGAAGAAGATCTCAATAAATTTGAGTCCCTCACCATGGGAGCCAAGAAAAAACTCAAGACTCAGCTGGAGCTGGAGAAGTGAGTATGTTATTGTGTTGAAACCTGTCATTATTGTAGTTTCTTATGGCTGAATAGAGTGCTGGGACTTATCGTTTTGCCAGATAGCAGCGATTGGTTCCTTTTTTGGCTAATCCAGTCATTAGTAACGTTTTTACAATGCCACAAATGTGACCTTGGTTTGAGGGGAAAGGCCTGTTGTAGTGAATTTGACAGGGTAGCATTATTCCCACCTTGAGGTGATTTTGGTGGGTGTCCCCTTGTGTAGAGGAGATTTATTTATTTATTTATTGGTTTTTTTGAGTTGGCGTCTCTGTCACCCAGGCTAGAGTGCAGTGGCACGCTGCTCTTGGCCACTGCAGACTCGGCCTGCTGGGCTTAGGCGATCCCTCCACCTCAGCCTTCCTAGTAGCTGGAACCACAGGTGTGCGCCACCATGCCCAGCTAAATTTTATTTATTGTAGAGACGAAGTCTCGCCAAGTTGCCCAGGCTGGTCTCGAACTCCTGGACTCAGGCAATCCTCTCGCCTCAGCCTCCCAAAGTGCTAGGATTACAGGTTTGAGCCACCGCGCCTGGCAAGGAGATATATTTAAACTGTTTGTGATAGAGTAAAAGAAGTTAAATGTCCCTGCGCTTTTTCGTTGCACAGGGAGAAGTCAGAGAGACGGTGTATGAACCCCCCAGCCCCGTCCTTGGTTGCCAGCAGTGGCGTGGCCCGAGTGCCCCCCACCAGCCATGTTGGGCCGGTCCAGACGGGGCGGGGCAGCCACTCAGCAGGTGGGTGAGGGCCCTCAGGCAGATGCAGGGGGCAGGGCAGCATGTTCTTTTGAATGATAATTAGATCCCAAACAACACTCCTTTACCATTTACCTTTTAAAGTTTTTACCTTTTTTTACAATCTTAACTTTTACAGACTATACCATAGGAAAATAAAAGGAACCGGTCGGGTTAGAAGCTGGAGACTGGCCACTGGCCTGAAGTTGTTTGGGCAAAAGGATTAGGTCCAGAAATGACTCTGGTGAGGGAGTGGGGGAGTGACTGAAAACAGGATGACAACCTCTCACCCCCGAGATTGACACCCAGAGGTCACGCGTAGGTCATTGCCCAGCAGTGACACTGGGCCGCCACTGGCCTTCCTGCTCTTGCAGTGCAATCCCTGCTGTTTGGTGTTTTGTCGACACTCTCCGTGCCTCCTCTGGAAGAGGGCGTGCACCTGTACCGTGGCTCTGCTATCTCGCTGGCAGACTGGGTCCACTTCACACAGTAGAAATAGCAAGAGTAATAGAAACTCAGGAAGAAAAACCCCGCCGGCAACTATTTTCATTGGTCCTTTGACTTTAAAAGCTCTTCTGTGACATGGCTGGCCCCTAGAAGGGCATCTCACGGGGTCTGTGGTGATGCGTGGTTTGCAGGGCCACAGCCCAGCACTGCTCGGGATCGGGGCGTGGTGGGTGCGGGCTAGCCGGAGGCTGTTGCCTCTGCTCTGAGGGTCTGAAACATCACTGCCGTGCAGCGGGGCAGTGCCGTCTTCTGAGACCCCTGAGCCCTGTCGGCCCAGAAGGAGCACCTGCCTGCTCGGGGCTGACACGGCATCGATGTCATGGCAGCCTCCACCCTGCGGGCCCGCTGACCCTCGCCTATCTCCTCAGCAGAGCTGCGTGTGGAAGTGGAGCAGCCCCCCCACCAGCTGCCCCGCGAAGGCAGCTCCTCCGAGTACTCCAGCTCCTCCTCCAGCCCGATGGGGGTGCAGGCCCGGGAAGAGAGCTCCGACAGCGCTGAGGAGAGCGACAGACGTAAGGGTGCGCACGCGGAGCTGCCGCTTGCCCGGCGCTGACCAGGACTGACCGCTGTGTTTCCATCCTAGGTGTGGAGGCCCACCTGGAGGCCACCGACAAGGAGAAGCCCGTCATGCTGCTCAATCACTTCTCGTCAAGTTCTGCGCGGCCCACAGCCCAGGTCCTCCCTGTGCAGAACGAGGCGGGCTCCACCCCGGCGGGCCACCACGCCCTGCCCCCGCAGATGCTGGCCACAGCCTCGCACATGGCACCCATCCGAATGCTGAGCTCTGTGCACAAGTCGGAAAGAGGAGGGGCAGACATGAAACTCCTCTCGTCCTCTGTGCACTCGCTCTTGTCTCTAGAAGAAAGGAACAAAGGATCCGGACCAAGAAGCAGTGTGAAGGTGGACAAGAGCTTTGGCAACGCCGTGATGGACGTGCTGCCCAGCCCAGTGCCCCGTCAGCCCGTGCAGGTCCTCTCTGGGCTTTCTGAGGGCAGCTCCATGTCGCCTACGGTCTCCTTCGGTCCCCGGGCCAAAGTCGTGCACGCATCTACCCTGGACAGGGTGCTGAAGACGGCGCAGCAGCCAGCCCTGGTCGGGGAGACCAGCACGGCCGCCACAGGGACACCTAGCACCGTCCTCCACGCGGCCCGGCCGCCCATCAAACTGCTGCTGTCGCCATCCGTTCCTGCTGACTCTGCCATCTCTGGGCAAACCTCCTGTCCTAATAACGTACAAATCAGTGTGCCCCCTGCAATCATAAACCCCCGGACTGCTCTGTACACAGCCAACACCAAAGTTGCCTTTTCTGCGATGAGCAGTATGCCAGTGGGCCCCCTGCAGGGCGGCTTCTGTGCAAGCAGCAACACTGCCTCCCCCGGCAGCCACCCCGCCACGTCCTTTGCCAACATGGCCACGCTGCCCAGCTGTCCCGCCCCCAGCTCCAGCCCCGCGCTGTCCTCCGTCCCGGAAAGCAGTTTTTATAGCAACAGTGGCGGCGGCGGCAGCGGCTCCACAGGAAACATTCCCGCCTCGAACCCGAACCACCACCACCACCACCACCATCAGCAGCCCCCGGCGCCCCCGCAGCCCGCGCCGCCGCCCCCCGGCTGCATCGTGTGCACGTCCTGCGGCTGCAGTGGGAGCTGCGGCTCCAGCGGCCTGACGGTCAGCTACGCCAACTACTTCCAGCACCCGTTCTCCGGGCCGTCCATGTTCACCTTCCCGTTCCTGCCCTTCAGCCCCATGTGCAGCAGCGGCTACGTTGGCGCCCAGCAGTACGGTGGCGGCTCTGCCTTCCCTGTCATGCACGCCCCCTATAGCAGCAGCGGGACTCCGGAGCCCGTCCTGGGCGGGCAGTCCACGTTTGCAGTGCCACCGATGCAGAACTTCATGGCAGGGACGGCCGGGGTGTACCAGACTCAAGGCCTGGTGGGCACTAGCAATGGGTCCAGTCATAAAAAGAGCGGGAACCTCTCGTGTTACAACTGTGGGGCCACTGGCCACCGTGCTCAGGACTGCAAACAGCCGTCCATGGACTTCAACCGGCCAGGTAAGCGCACGCCCAGGCAGGCTCCCCTAGGAGGGGTGCAGGCAGGTGCTTGACTTGTATGAAGATGAGAGTAGACCTTTTTCTTTTGAAAAGCAAATAATAACTGTGCACATGCGCATCGGCACAGCGTGGAAATCTTAACAACAGGCCATGGCGTCCCAGAAGGGTTACTGTTGGTTCTAAGGCGGTGATTTCAGATGACTTGTCCTAGAAGGTGACTGGCTGGTGTGGGTAGGGCCTCGCTGGGCCCTGTCACGTCTGGCCGCGAGCCCAGAGCAGCAAGTGTGAGAGGTTCAGGACCACCTCCCGGCCCCCAGTGCGGAGCTCAGGTCACCGCGGCCGCCCAGACCCTCCTGGGGGGAGTCACGTCCCCTCTGCTTCCCACCCCTCGTGGGGCTGTGGGGTGTGTCGTGTCATCAGCTGCTGCACAGCTTCCTTCCCCTCTTCTTACATGTCCACTCTTGGCCTCTTTTAATCAAGTTCAAGTGTGTGTCTGGTGTATCGGTTACAGTGGTTTTGTTCTTGCTGTTTGTTTCGGAAGCTGGGGATTGGGAATGTTGACCCCAGCTCTGTGGCCACTCGCTGAGCCGCCGAGGAAAGCCGCTTCCCTCTGGAGCCTCCAGGCGCTGCCAAAGGTCGCCCCAGCTCTGTGCTGCTCACCGCCTGCGCAGCACCCCACCCCTGAGGGTTTTTAGAAACCAGCACCCTCTGACTCAGTAGTCTGATGGTGGGTTCGGGCGGGTCTGAGCCTTTCAGGGCCCACCTCCCTCCACAGAGCTGGGCTGCATCTCCTCAGGCAAGGGCTGCTAGTCAGGCCTTACCAGCCCTGGCCGAGAGAAGGGCACGTTTAGACCCGGCCCACCCACTGTGTGCGGCCCAGCAGCTGGAGAAAGCGCCCCTAAGGAATCGAGAGCTGGATTAGCAACCTTCTCATGAGTCATTTCACCCTGGTCGGATGTTCTAAGCTCGTAAAGTAATGTCCGGTGGAAGGTGGGGGGTGCAGGAAGGGAACCGGGAATGGTTGGAGCAGGTGGTCAGATTCCCAGCACTAGAAAGTGGACCCGCATCTCTGGAAAGAGCAGGACAGACTGGTGGGCTGTGGGCTCCTACGTGATTCAGATTTGGTCTCTTTCCCCCCCACCAGGTACATTTAGGTTGAAATACGCCCCTCCTGCAGAAAGTCTCGACTCCACAGACTGATTTTTTTCTCGGGCAACAGAACATTACTAAGCCATGGAGACAAGGAAAATTGAATACAAAACTGAGCAGTCTAGTTGCTGTTGAGCTTGATATTTTTAACCCAAAGGTGCTTTACTCTACTGGACTGGACAGCAGATCTAGCTTAGAAGTGCATCCAACTCGGTTTTATTGCCAAAATCCTAGATGGGAGCTTGATGTCAGGACTTGCCTAGCGGGCATCTCCATGGCCAATGGACGTGCCGTCTACACTTTGGCGGCAGCACGGAGGCCTCTCGCCTCCCCAGGAGCACTGCCGTCATCGCCCACCTAGGCTCCCACGTTTTCCAGGGCAGCTACGCACGATCAGAAGCGAGAACTGAAGGCTGGGGCTCTCCAAGCGGACTCCCGCCTGGCGGACTCCTGACACCCCTGGGCTAGGGAAAATGTCGACTTTGTTTTGTTTTGTTTTCCTAAAGTGAGTAGGCACTAATCTCTGGGATTTTTAAGGATTGCACTACAGAAGAATGTAACCTGATGCCAGTCTCTGCAGTTCTGGGAGACAGACTCCTCCGAGACCGTCAGTGCAGGGACTCCAGTTCCCCGTATCTGAAGAGGTGGCACCAGCAGGCTGCCCGGCTTGGTACACAGCAGAGATGTTAGGGTTCCTTCCCTCCTTCAAACACTTGTAGCAGTTTCAGGTTTTTAATTTTTTCTGCAAATAAATTTAAACTACATTATTAGATAGAACTAGTTTACTCGCAACAACTTAATTTTTAAGGGTCCAAGTCCCAGAGAATCCATAGTCGTCAAAGCTTTGAGAATACCTTCCTTCCCAGCATTCAGTGGCGCTGAGCCCTGACGTCTTTCACTACCAACGAACTCTTGCAGGGACATGGTGACAGCGCGGCTTTGTGATTGGCCGTGACGGATGCTGCACATCCTTAGCAGAGTTTGCTCCCCAAGAACCCCAACCCCAAGGCTTACTGCTGAAGGATTCGCACCTGAGACAGACATCAACAGTGGTACAGTCCTAGCATTGAAGAGCAGAAGAGGGGGATTTTCTCCTGTCCGCTTCTTTTGTATCAGGCTGTGTACTGATTGTTAATTCCGTTAAACATTTCCTGGAAAGCTCCAGTGGGAAGTGGTAGGACTCTGGAAGAGGCCACGCACGAGACAGAGCCACGAGAGCTGTGCAAGGCTGGCTTTCGTGAGGTGGGCAACGCAGTCCTCACACAGGTCTCTCAGTTTCAGCCCATGAAATAAAAGCATTTTGTCTGAAATTTAGGGACTTAAATCTTCAAGGTTAAAGGGAATTTTCTGCTCAAAGAATACTGTTATTTAAAGCCTTCTATATTAAAATATTGATTGGCGAGGTCTTGCCAGGAATTTTCCAGTTGAAATTTTTTCTTAAAAATTGCAATATTTAGACCATTCTTAAAATGGGACAATCAGCCTCATAAAAATTGGTGTAAATCAGAAGAATACCCTGGAGTTGGCGGCGTTGTGATATGAGGCTCCAAATTTTGACATCAGTTTCCTGACTTCATGGAAACTACAGCAGAAAGTTGTTACTTTTTTATGAAAGTCTTTCAGTAGAGTTTTTTAGTTTTATTCTGGTAGAGTTTTATTTCTATGCAATGCAGAATTGACAGACCTCTGTATTCTCTCTATTCGTGGTACACAGTATTACGGTTTTGAAGTAGTGGTGATACTTATTACTACAGCTATTTAGGGGAATGTTACATTGATCTCTTAAATGATAAACACTACAAAATGTCAAATAATGAGAACTGACACAACTTTGCCTTAAAGAGTACTAGACTGGACCTTGTCATATTATGTTAAAGGAAGACTTAGAGTGTTCATTGATGTTTACGATTTTAATATTTCTGAAGGCCATTACAGTGGCCTGGATATGTGCTGAAAGCCAAACTTTTAAATTTTTTGGTTTTTTTTAAACAAAGAAATATTTTAAATAAATCCTATTTCAACACTGAAATTGTTGAAAACTGTCTCATAACAAAAGAAAAAATCATTTAAATCTTTTGTTTTAGTGGTCAGTATAGGGGAATGAAAGTGTCTGTTATCCTTATAACTATTTTGATAATTATTAGAGGTTAACCTTAAATGCAACACAAAATTAAAACAGAAACTTCGGTTTGAAGTATAACATTGAGTTGACATTGTATGGCTGTGTTCCAGTCATCAAAGGTCTTTGGAAAGTTTCCAGTTGTCTTTGAAAGCATGTGCGGTGTGCCATCTCCAGTGGGGCCACCCAAAGTCGAGGATTGTGAGACGTACATGTGAGTTACACAGACTGGAACGAATGCAGTCGCCCACCCATGAGAGCACTTCCTAAGGAGCGCACACCTGGACTTGAGAGTATCTATTTACTTGGCAGTATTAGCTCTGATGAATTTCTCTCCAAAAGCAACTGAAGTCAGTGAGGCTGAAGAGCATTTTGCATTAATCAGAAGACGTCCTCATCCTAAAACACAGAACACATGGACCCTTTCAAGTACTTAGTTGTTTCCCTGGAGTTGTGGTCTCAGTTTCAGGATGCTGTGGCGACCAGGTAGGCGTGGCACCAGCCACTTCTTCGCTCTCTGTCGTCTGTCAGATACTAAACTTTCTGACCCCACTTTTGTTTCCAAGAACGGGGAAAGTGGAATGTCGAGATTGAAGAATAATACGACGTTGAGATAAAGCAATGATTTAATCTTCTGTTTTATTTTTTACGCAAAATACTCAACTTTCTACCTTATTTTCTAATGTTTATCTCATGGTAATATTGATAATTGGTAAGTGTTTAACGTTAAAACTCCTACTTGCTGAAGAGCATTGAGGAAATGGAGCTAGCACTTGTGATAAAGAGGAGACCTTTTCTTGAGCACATGTATGTGTTGGGTATCAGAGAAACCAGCATCATCCGTCATCTCCCAAAGGTTCCAGGAGTCAGCTTGGTAATGCCGTAGTGCGTCGGTTCCCTATTTGAATTCAGTATGTAGAACTGTAGGGCCCTTCTGCCGAAGCCAGCCGCTTAGTTGACGCCGCAGACTGTGCGGGGCTCAGTGGCGGCGGCCGCGACCGCCCGGCGCCC